AATCCATCTGTCGGAGTCAGGTTAAAAGGGAGTTTTTCCTCTCCACTGTCTCTACAAGCATGCTTAGTGTGAGTGATTGCATTTGAGTCAATGAGTCGATGCAATCAACTGGTTTTCCTTAGATAGAAAACTTTGAAGCAGTGTGACTGTATGATGTGGTTAACTGTAAAGTGCCTTGAGATGACATGTGTTGTGAATTTGCGCTATATAAATAAAGTGAATTTAATTGAATTTAACAGGAAAAAACAAAAATAGTGAAGTGTGAGACAGAGCATTAGGAAAAATTCTAGTAGTATGTTCAAGTGGACTTCTGATGTTGATCTGAGAATGATACAGAAGCCAAACTTGGTTATGTTCCAGTTTAAAGGCTGAGAACAGCGGGTTAAAAGCCAAAACACAGGCTAACTGATAGTAGCAAAACCTGTAAATTACAGTAAAACAATATTTGTAATTTTTTATGGAATTTACAAACTGTAAATAAACATGTTTACATATAAGGTTGCACTTTATCAGAAAATGAAATACACATGGTTAAAAGTAGGGAGCTTTTTATTGCAGCTAATACTTTGTTTGAAATATGCAGCGACCATATTAAATTTGAAGGTCAAGGCGAGTTGGTATTTCAGCTTTACTAAACTTAATGTCAAATCTTCCAACTTAAAACTCAGCCATCAAGCATTAGTGGATATTGGTGGCATTTTCTTAGTATTTTTAATGGTATACAATGTGTAAAATTCCAAGTGAAAATGTTATTAAAAATGTCAATATAATAGAATTGTTTAAAAAAATTTTGAAAAATCGAGAATCAATAATGTAGAGTATTCTGTTGTAAATGTGATTTTATATAATGATAATTGAACTTTATTGATCTCACATTGGAGAAATTTACAACTGCATTTAACCCATCCCTGTGGGGAGCTGTGGGCTGCCATTGTGTGGCGCCCTGGGAGCAATCGGGGGGGTTAAAGGTCAGAGTGCAGGCTGTGGGGGATCGAAGCACACTTCTCTAACCCACTAGGCCAACAATCCCCTCAATTTACAGCTAATCTAACAATTTCTAACCATCTGTCTCTGCTCCGGAAACAGACATACCCATTGCATGATACTGCCACCACTGTGTTTCACTATAGGGAATGTATGTTCACACTGTCAGAATTTCAGCCACACATTGTTTTCATTGGTACAAAAACTTTCGTCTCATCCCCTACATGCAAATTTTCCATGGCTTCCTCTCAACAATTCAGCAGCCCTGGCAGTGAATAAAACCCAGATGTGTAAGCTGTCTTTACTAATAACAGACATTCAAATGCAGTTGGTGGTGTTGGAAAACTATGCATCATTCCATTTATCATGCATTGAGTGCTCTCTCACCAAAAACATTCAAATAAAACAGATTTGCAGTGTGTTACTAACCTGGCAGCCATGCTCTAACAAAAGCTGCAGGATGTCCAGGTTTTCATTCTCGATGGCGATCGTCACCGAGTCCCGGCCAAGCACGTCCACACAGTTGATGTTGAGCTCACCATGGCGGTTCTCCTCCAGCAGCTTCTTCACCATGTAATAGTCACCTGGGAAAACACACAATTATCCATCAGACACCAAAGCTGCTTTAAAGTGACTTTTGCAGAGATGTGTAAGGAGACGTTTCCAGACCTTAGCAGTAGTTATGAGGCGAGTGGTGAGACAGAGCAGGCGGCAGCCACTTAAATCTTTTCTTAACAATAACATCTCCCTCAGTAACTGGGTTATGTTTACAGAGGCTTTATATGGTGAATCTAGGGAGTTATCAATGACTGCTTGAGAATGCCTCTGTGCTTTTTGACTAGATAGTATATCATTGCATTACCTCTCCTTGTTAGGAGCTGATGTTGGAAATGATGCACATCCTCCTGCTTTGCAGATCATGTTCTACTACTAAATCCCTATAGGTGAATATGGACATTTTAGAGACAATCATTGAGAAAAAAAAAAAGGAATAAAAGTGTATCTAACCTTTCTCGCATGCCAGCAGGAAGAGCTTCTCGTCAAGCGTCGTCTCCTCCTTCACTTCCCTCACGTCTTTTAAGGCCAGGAATTTGTCGGGAGAGGAGGAGGTGTCCGTGCCCTGGTACAAAGCTGCCATAACGACGGAGAGCGAACCCGGCCAAGCGCTGATGTGCATCCCACTACCAAGCTGCGACCTTTACGCAACACAAGCCCGTCAGCATCATTCTCATTCTCTGCAGACTGGAGGAATCCTTCCCGAAAAGAGGAACGGAGGGCAGGTTTACAGCGTCGTCATCACGAGAAACCTGTATGTGTGATCAACACGCACACACACACACGCCTCAGGCTTGTATTAAAGCGACTAAATTTGAGACGAACCTGAAATATTAGATTCAAAGAACCCCGGATCTATCGATTCCATCAGCGTGTTTATATGCACCATATTTTTCTCCCCCCTCCCCTCCTCATCGCTGCTGGGATCTTTTTGGTCCTGATGCTGCCGACGAAGACGGGACTGCGCATGTTTCTTCCTCCGTGCGCCGCGCTCATCCGGCGCGCGCGCGCGACGCCGTGTGTGACTCATGATTACGTAAGATTGTTATGTGTGTTGTTTGTACACATAGCAAGGAGACAGAATGCAGCAAATTATTTATGTTCATCATACAGTTGGATTCTTACTGCTGAATAGATAAATGGGCGGTATGGCCAGGGGTGGAGCTAGATGGGGGGCCAGGGGTGGCCTTACCCAATCATGGGCCACCCCTACCATTTTAATCCCTCTAATACAGACGGTGGCAGCAGTAATACTTTCAAGTGGAATGTTTTAACTTATTTAAAATTAAATTTTCTATATGTAAACGATTACCTGAGAAGAAAAACACTGCAGTTAATTATGCACATCACTATACTAACATTAAAGATACAGAATTCATGCTCCTTTCAGAACTAGATTTCGTCTTAAATGGGGTAAAGAGAAAATTATCTCTCTGCAAGTCATCCAGTAGTGTTCAGTTACTTAAGTAGAAGTATAGATAACGCAGTTTAAAAACACTCTGGTAAAAGTTGAAGTATCAACTTGACCTCTTTACTCAAGTAAAAGTGAAAAAGTATGTTGTCCAAAAACTACTGAAAGTATAAAAATATAAAGTAACCTTCAAAAAAAAAAAAGCAGCCAGATGCCACTATATGAATTGAAAGCTCAAGTTTTCGACTATTTCGAAAAATTCTTTGAGATAGAGCCAAGGATGAGTTGTTGGTCTCCGTCTCCATCTGCCTCCATCTCCCGATACGCTCTCGCCTGTTTTGACCTTTCAGACATTCCAACATCTTTTTCTGAATCCGACATTGTTTGCAGTGTGAAGAACACCTGCCTGCTTCTGATGATTTTCTTTAGCAAACCAATGAGTGTTTGCGTTATATGACTCATCCAGTTACACTAGTTTTCACTTAATATACTAAACAATGCACTCTATTTTTTGTGTGTATGTGTGGGTGTTTGTTGTGTGTCCCCATGGATAACATGAACCCCTGTCCCCCCGTGATAAATTTCTTTTAGGACTGCCACTGCTTATGATAGAATCATAAGATGTCCTCTAAAGATGTGGCCATCCTCATTAATTAACCAAGCACTTAAGCAGCTTTGATGCACTTCACTTAACAAAATGAGGAATCTGAGCCCCTTCCAGGAGAACAGAAACTGTTGAGGAGGTTTCATAATAGACCTCTGAAAAGCATCTTCATGGAAGGCAGACAGGCTGCATGAAATACTAGTAAGGAAAATAAAACAAAGTGTTTATCAGCTGGCTTTGGTTCTGAATTGTTCCCTAATGCTGCAAGGTAGCCACCATTGTACCATTAGCCAAGAACTCCACATTAACCTCCTAGAATGACTTCCTTCCTGTTGCACTTACTCCAATAATGAGGTCAAAATCAGAGGAAAAATTAGAGATTAGCCAGCGATCTTTAAAACTAACCTACCTACCTACCTACCTACCTACCTACCTACCTACCTACCTACCTACCTACCTACCTACCTACCTACCTACCTACCTACCTACCTACATTTCTGTATATTTCCATTTAATTTCCCCCCTAAATCTGTCCTGAATTGATGAATTGCTTCCAGGTGTATCTTGACTTTCTGTAACGAGGGGGATGTGTAAAGCAGACCAATGGGGAGGAACATAACCATGGTTGCCGCCATCACTGAGAATGGTGTGCTAATGCATATTTTCATATCAGGCCATGAAATGCAGAGGGTTGTGTCACTTTAAGGCTCTCTCTACAGGGATCTCACCCCCGAGAAAGAGAGGGGTCAGAGTGTCGCTGACTTGGCAAAGCATGTGATAGTTTAGGGCAATGTCAGTTTCCATCTCTACAAAATCATCAGGCAATGGTTTGTGCCCAACAGCAGGAGGGTGATTGGGTTCCTCTCACCCTGTAACATATTCCTAAATATGGATATGTAAAAGTATATGATCACCAGCCACATCCACCGATGAGCATATCAGACTGCCATGCATCTTTTGCTCAATGGCATTACAGCAGCTACCTACAAATATTATCCAGTGTGTTATTTTCAACTCTTTATGTATTTTTTCTTTGAGCTTTGCAATGTTGCTTTAGCCTTTCTGTATTGCAATGTCATTTTCTCACAACAAAATACAGATCAAACAAAAAAAAAAATTCAAAAAGGTGTTGCAATGACAGTCATCAGAATTAACCCCAGTCCACATCAGAACATCTCTCCAGAGTAAACGGTTACATTGTCAACATGACTGAGCAATTCTCCTATGTTATCCAGACACAATGACCCAATGGCTTGTCATTCTGATACTACTAACATGTCTAATGAAACACATATTTACTTTTGAGAGAGGAGAGGCTGACTTTCTAGGTAATCCATGGCACTTTTACCATTCCTTAAAGAAACCCATGATCTGTGATAGAAATGTAGCAAAGCAATTGAGAAAAACTGAAAAGATCTAAAACAAGACCCAGCATTAAGTGCAAGCAAAGTATTTAAGTATTTGTGAATCTGAATTTTCAAGTCTTTCTTCTGTCCTTCAGTTTTATTGGATCTTAGCTCTACTAGGTAATTCTGTCTGCTTTTATCTAAAACATTTCAGTGTAAGTCTAGTTGCAGCCTCTCAAAGGTTTGCTCTGTATTTTACTCCATGTACCTTCCCATGACCTCTTTTTCACTTATTAAGGCCCGCCTTCCCCCCCTCCCAGCTGAGGAAAACAATTTAAAAAGTATGATGGTACCACCACCATGTGACGCCATGGGGATGGTGTGTTCTGAGAAACAAGCAGTTCTAGCTATCTTCCAAATATTTATTGCTTTTTATCTATTTATTACATATGGATACAAAAGTTCAGCTTTGGTCTTTTCTGTTTGTGTTTTCTGAGCTCAAAGAAAGGAAATTGAGCTTATAGTATTTTTTACAGTAAAAAAAACTTTTTTTCTAAAAAAAGAGATAGAAAAACAAGCACCATGAACTTCACAGTTGTGCTTTTAGTATTGTATTGTTCACATTAAGATTTTACATAAAAGTCTGTGGTTGCAGCATGACACAATATCAAAATGCTGATACAGCATTAATAGTTTTGCCAGGTTTAGTTTGTCAGCACAGTGAAACATAAATTTAGTCAACGTTTAAGCCTTGATTAGTGTCTGTGTAGAGATACAGCAACATGAAATGTAACCTTCACTGTGTTGTTGTCATGTCTGGACAGGAAGGGCTGAAGCTTTCATCTAATTGGAAAATAAAGTATATTTATACTGTGTCCACGTTAGGCTACAGCTGAGCAAATATGTACTTTTCCATCTGCATGTCAGAACACTTCAATGTTTCTTTATATATTTAACCAGAAATACTATGCATATTAGTGTGTCAGGTTAAAATAGCACCTAAGATAACAAATCAATAACTAAACCCTTTAAATGATTTAAAAGAGAACCTCAAAGATGCCATAACAGTTCTCTTGCACAATAACACAGATGTGCAATACTGATGTAAAGAAGTAATTCTTTTGATTCCCAACTAATTTACTTTCCAAGATCTATCATTGCCTTTTATTGAGATTGAAAAACAATGTGTATGTCGATCCATACATTTCTGATAGTGATGAGTAAAGAAGAAAGTTGAAATCACACAAACATTTAATTAATTCCAAAATTATGTGTAACTTTGCGTTGATTTAAAACTAAATATCCCAATAAAATCTATATAAATTGCTAAGTGAAAAGATTAGCTTTAAATATACTTTACTTGCACTATACACACAGAGAAAACACTCAAAATCTTATTCTTTGATAACTTATTTTGGATTTACTTCAGCCGTTTTTATTTAGTTTTATAATGTATCATGGATACATTCTGTTTTTCTATTCTTCAAAGGCTTGTATTGTAAAGAGAATAACAGAAAAAAAGTCCATTCTGTGTGAATGCAGAACAGACAATTCTCCAGCAGAGGGCAGTGTGCACAAAGCTTCATACTAAGTTGCAATAAACCTAATTTTATTTGACAAACACTACTAAGATTTATCTGTGGGATGCAGACAAATGCAGCCATTAATAATTAAGAAGCATGAAAAATGTCATTCTATACCTTAAGATCGTTAAGACTAATCTCATCTATTTTCTCTGAAACAGCTTCAGCTGGATTTTGTGAACAAAACAACTCAAATCGACTGGGATTATCATAATAACTGGTCAAATACAACACATATGACCATTACATGTTGTTAATAAGCAAGTAATATGCAAAGATTTGAGGAAAGAATAATTCCAGCCTGCAGAGCTTAGGGTTTTTCTCTACATTTTTAGCTTCAGGATGTTTGCCACTCTCTCAGGAAAGGCTTACAGATTAATTTCCTGATAAAAACAACAGCAACCAGCAAGCCCAGTCATTTAGAAACCGCTGTTTAGCCTAGTTGTGATTCAAAATAAAACATACTTCTGTGTAGGTACAATATGATGCAATATACTTTCTTCGATGCCTGTATGTTTGCTTTGGAATCATCACAAATGTTCATTTTTGAAGCCATGGTTGACAATATTATATCTGGAGCAATGTAAGTGCCTGTTAAAATGTAACCAAAGTCATACTTATTCCTGATTTTACACATTAACTCAGTGAACACATCATGAACTATCCAATTCTATCTATCTATCTATCTATCTATCTATCTATCTATCTATCTATCTATCTATCTATCTATCTATCTATCTATCTATCTATCTATCT